ATTGATAAATTTAAACAACACATAAGTAGGGCCAAGAGCCCACAAATATAAAATATGACAAATAAAGGGAGTCTCAAAAATGCATACACATTTGACATAATTGTAAACTTGGTGTTTATCATAATTTTATTATTTCAAAAATGCAGAGATATTTACAAGTATAAGTTTATTAATTTTTTTTACTGAAATTTCTCACACTGACGTCCATTTTGATCACTAAACAGTTGACAATGTGAAGCACTGGAATCGCAAACAAAATGAAACATTCCCCTTGTTTTCGGGTGCATTCATATTCAATGGCTTCTCTCAATTCGGCCACTGTTGCAATAGTCAAAATGCAGTGAAAAAACGATAAAGGGTATTTGTGAATATTTTTACATTTTTGAAACAATAAAATTAAAATAAACACCAAATTTACAATTATTTAAAATGTTTTGGGACAGCTTTGGATACCATTTTCAAGGGACCTCTGTGTATGTTTGTCCTACCATAGAATTACAGCGAATGGCGAAATTTTGGTGGTCAAATTTACCGAGGGTAGCTCACACAGATTAACACGAACCTTTAAAAAATATGACTTTGAAGGAGCTTAAGATTCTCTTAAACAATTCATTGAACACATCGAAGCGACGAAGTTACAGAAGCATTTGACCGGCATACATCTCTATTATATGAACAGGATGATATTTTGACGTAACAAAAATTTCCATCAGAGAATTCAAAGGAGCCAACCGTTCTTGAGAATGATAAAAAGCATATATAGGGTAATACCTAATGATACGAAGAATGAGAAATGAGAGCAGAGAAGTGGTACGACTAGCCGGAGAGGAGACGCCTACAGGCGACGAGATGTACACTTGCAGTGAGTTGCATGGTAAACAAAAAACTTTAACATCCGCCGGCTTTTCGTCGTTTGAAAAAATAGCTGTCCGCCTATAGAAAATAGTCGTGATCTAAGAAAGCAGTGAAAAAGCTCCTACTACGAAAATGTGGCAGAGTTCAGCGAGTCTCCCCCGTGAGTTTCATTTAGTTATGACTTGAACAGAGGAACTGTGTCCTTGGACTGATCGTTTGATATTGGATCTGACATCTTAAGCTGCCCTTGAAATTATGCTAGATTTTACTATGCCGAATTTCGCGCGGTAGATGTAATCACTTTCCGGCGAGCACATTTCTTTGCGTCTGCACTGTTCCTCGTCGTGTTGCCTATTCGCAATATCCTTTCCAGAAACGTAGAAGTAGCATTTTTATCCTTAAACCAAGGCCCCGATTTATTCACAGCATACGACGTCAAAGCCTGTTACCTTATTCA